CCTTCAACACCATGATTACCAGAGGGAGCAGCAGGACCAGGATCCCAATAGTGGGCTGATAGAAGAGTGACCGAGCAAGAATCTCAGAGGAATTTGAAGGATGTCAAGAAGTGGTGATGAAGCAGTGTTGTCCAGTGAATGAGACTAGTCCTAATTGTTCAGAGTAAAATGTTGCTCATTGTGAATCATTGTGAATGGGCAGCATTAATCCTTAGCCTGCAGTCTGAGTCAGGCAATAAGAGAAAAACAGCAGATGCTGTCTGTTCAAACCTAAAGTCCTCTATCGTTGCCTGTCCTCACTTCGACTGAATGCAGAGACTGCAGTTGACGCCTGGTACAAAAAATGTGTAGTAAATGATTAATGCGTACTTGTGGAATATCTGAAGTTCCGCTACGCAACCCAATTGGTCCTGACATAGTATGGAGTTTCAGGTTGAGTTTGGGCTGTTACGTTGCATAATGCTTTTGGTGGTAAGAGAGAGATCAGTTTCAATCAATTTCAGCCGGATCAGACCAGGTTCAGATCTCAGTTTTAGACCAATGCAGAACTCACTTGTGACCCCTCATCACAATCTGTGAGTTGCAACAGCTCAAGCAAAAGGTTATTTTTCACTTTTTAGATGGTTTGAGTATATTTCAGATGCCTGAAGAAGAAACCCAAACAGCATTTCACAGGGAAAGAGCTGAGACTAGGGTTGAGTATGCTGATGCCAATGCAGCACGAGTTTCAGTACTGAAACTAAAAAAGCACACTATCAGCCATACAAGAACTCTGCCTATATAAAATAAAGTAAGTATGATTTTAATTTTGAAAAACCTTAAAATAAAAAAGATGCTCTGTGCTCCGTATTTGTATAGCACCTTTCTAGTCACCCCTTAATACTCAATGCTACAAACACATTTTATTCTGTATTCAAAAAGTATTAATATTATTAATAATAACTTTTATTTGTAAAGCACCTTTCACACATGAAATGCAGCTCAAAGTCCTTTATAGCTTAACACAATAGATAGAAAATACAAAAAGACAAATGGATAAAAATAGATTAAAAGATCAAATAAAAAGGTAAAATAGTAAAAATGACAGTAGAAAGCGATAAGGATTAACGAATGACTGCCTGAAAAAGGTCAGTTGATTTTTAAACATTTCAAGAGAGCCTGCATATGTAGCAGGGTGTTCCACAGTCTCGGAGCATAGTAGCTAAAAGCAGTTTCTCAGCAGTTAAAATAGCAGCATCAGAGGACCTAAGGGCTTTGCTGGTTGATATGGTTTAAAAACTCTAAAATGTAAGAAGGTGCTATATCATTACAAGCTTTTTAAGTGAGTAAAAACACCATAAAATCTATTCTAAAAGAAGTGGCCAGCTGAAGTTTCCCAATCAACTGTTTTGGTAGGCCAGTGCCTGACAAAAGTGAAAGTGAAATACAACTATTTATTATGTTTGATAAATAACAACAAGCAATGTTGCTCTATAAACTGCAGTGCGGAAAAGAGAACACATGAACATGCGTTCATTTGAGCGTGGACTAGGGTTGGACCGGTAGACAAGACCATCGTCTAACAGTGATGGCTGAAGGACATCACAATGTTGAGCAGGCATCTAAATTATACCGCCCTATGAAAGCAGGTTTTAACCCCCACTAGGGATGGGGATCGATACCCGGTTCTAAAAGGACCCGGTTCCAAACTTCCTCAAAACACGAAAATCAATAAGGTCTGAGCTTATCAATACTGCTATCGAGACTAGCGGGTCCTATAATGTAACATTTTGACTCAAGCGTCAAATCTGATTTAACTTGAAACGCAATGAATAAGAAAACTAATGTTTTGCTATTTATTGATGGCTATTAAATGGGCCTGTTTATCATCAGGCTGCAGCCTCTGCTGCTCTCTGTCAGCTCCTACATAGACATACGCACAGCGGCCAGCAGAGCGAGACTCCGCCCCGTCGCGGTGGAGAGTTAGCTCCAAACTAACTGAGTTGCAGACAGCTACGCTCGTTACTGTAAGTACATGCAATAAAATCTTCACAAGTAAAAAGACAATACTTTATCAATACACCTGTGTGTAGGAAAGGTTCATTAAGCTGCTCTGTCCTTAGCCTCTCATCCTGTATTATGTAAGCACAGCTAACGTTAGCTTGGCATTAGCCAAATGTTACAAACAAGCTACATAGAAAGCTGTCTGTCTGCACCATATACTGGTCTGTAGTTTTAAAATTCGACACATTGTTGTAAACTCAGCTGCTGGCTGAGACAAACCTAACGCTCCTCCTTCTACCAGGTAATGTTACTAGCAGGCAGTGAATAACAGCAGAGAGGAGGAGGAGGAAGGACTGATACTGACTGAGTTTATTCTTCTTTCTAAACATCACTCAGTATTGTGATGTCACATATTGACTTTATTTAGAGATGTTGCTGTTGTAAACATTAATGTTGCTGCTCTAGAAACCACATTTGTCTTTAAAATATTAAATTCTCATCCTATAATTAATTTCAAAACAACCAGGCAGCTAATAATCACACTTCTGTATTTGGTTATTTATTACAAGTGATATGTCATCTAAATAAATAACAATGTTATCGCACATTGAATATTTTCCTCATACTGTGCAGGCCTACCTCATGCCCGTTGGGTCTGGTCTTACCAGATAACCATCACCAAATAATAGTAAAGTATCGACAGTGCATCGATAAAGACTCAGATCGTTAAGCAGTCTCAATAATGGTATCAATATCAATAAAAATTCAAGATTCCCATCCGTAATCCCCACAAACATCATTATTATTATTTTTAAATCTACCTGCTTTGCACCTGCCTCGGACTTTTCTTTTCCCTACACTCAGACACACCTACACCTCAGGTCTCTCATTTCCCTGTCTCTCTTTCTGCTCTCCTGACTTTCTCCAGTATGTTTTATAAACTCACCCAAAAGACACAGAACTCGTCTATTTTCTGGAGTTTTCCACCTGTAATCCGTTTTCACAGCAGACGGTGTGCCACATGCCAATTTGTAATGAAGTATGTAAAGGTAAAAGTACTTTATTGTCACATACATGTAGCTAAATTCATTCACACTGTGCAGCGACTGGGGGACCATCTCCAGATATATATCAGTGTCTGGTCGATGGCAACTGACTGAAGAACCTATCTTGTTTTTTAGTTATCAAACAACCAAAACCAACATCTGCACTCTACTGTTGCTTGTAAAATATCCACCGTGTCTGCGAATTGACTGTTGATTAAATATTAAATTTATGTTGATACGCTGGGCATACTGGGGAATATGAATCTCTCAGTAAGTAATAACCTTCAAGTATTCAGCCAAGCCAGAGTATAAATAGTGTTATGTTTGTATTGTTATGTATAATTAACAGGTGCTGCCCTTATGCTTGTCAGTAGAGGAGATGCTGGATTACCAGCCATTACAAGCACAGACTCAGCTGTGTAAATATTCACTTATCTTAAGATTCTATTGAAAATATGCTATTATAAATTTGTAAATATTATTTTTTCTATCTCATTCTGTTCTGTAGAGGTTTACTTATTTTTCAACCTACAGATGGAGCAAACTGTTTAAAGGAGGGATGATTCTAGTGGGAGCATTGGGATGTCAGGTGTGACTGTGTGGCAATGGCAAATGGTTTACTTGGGTCGCTAGTCAGGTAAGAGGGCAGCTTTGCAGAATTTTGCTTTGAGCCCCAGAGAGATCAGACCTGGCTCTGGTGACTAGTCTACATAACATTACATTAACAGTATAATCATTTTTAATAATTTTAATATTTTTTACTCTAGTAAATGAAATGGTTGTCTCCCTGCTTACACACATTTATATTGTGAACATCAGTAATATGTCTAAGTATTTTTATTAGTACTTTTATTCTCTGTAGAAATTCTTAATGTAAAACACGATTTGTTGATACTGGCCCATATACACATCAACATGTGAATAAGGGATTACTGGTAAAATTTTTTATGTCTGCTTTGCACAGTAATTATTGGGAACAGTGTTGTACACAATTGCATGCCTCCCTGCACCACCTCTGAATGTGTTCTACGCTGGGTCCTATGGTGTCCGCAATGAGTTCTGGCTGGATTTACACCTGAATTCACAGCTTTCCATTTGTCACATCTGACTGCCATTGACTCATTCAAATGACTGTCTGCGTTTGCATGTGAGCACTTAACACGTGTAACTGTGCTTATATATTTACATTTCCATGTGAGATACATTCTGTATACATTCATACATAAGCTATCAATGAGTAGTGGCTCTGGGCTATTTATAGAGCAGCTATATTAGCTCACAGTATGTGTCAGCTACTGCTCTCAAAATGGCCCCAGACAGCACAAGCAACAGCAGGAAAACTAGGTGAGAAAGTAGGTAGAACAAATGAAAGTTCCTGCTCTCAGCCTCAGAGACAGTGTATGCGAGCTGTGGGCTCAGGTCCATAAAATGTACATGTACACAAATGTGCACAAGGAGCTGGAGTTGCTAATAGTCATCACACGCGCGCGCGCACGCACGCACACATACACACACACACACACACACACACACACACAGGCGCACAACAGCAGCACGCCAACAAGTAGAGCCTGTTTAGTGCAGCAGAACAGGCTCTGAGTCACACATACTTGTCAAATTTGTGTCCCACAAGCAGCAGAGACATGTTCCCAAGCAAATCCCTCCATTGGAGTGCATGTGTGACAAGAGAGAGACTAATAGTGCAGCAACAGCAATAGAAAGTCATGACCATTATAGCTATCCATTCACACTAGTTGTCTGCCTGTGTAGGAGCACTGTGTGTTACATGAGAGGCACATAGATGTATTTGAGTTCGTCCAGCAGGGCAGAGAGGTGGGCGTTGATGATAGCTGAGAGAAATCGCTGTGCCTGCCTACCAAACAAAGCGGCCCCTCGCCGCCTGAGACGCTACTCACACTGCCTGTATCCCCCTCTGCATCTATCGGTATCTCGCCACACGTTTCAACTCACTTGATGAAGCAGCGAGCGCCCTCGAATGTGTATCCTTCCTCCCAGCCTGTTGGTAAATCTGTAAAGAGGTAAAGAAAAAACACAGAACCATAAGCACCTGTGCATAAATATGTGAAGCTGATTTCACACACACACACACACACACACACACACACACAATGCAGTGTCGGTACCACAAATAGCTTATTTGTCTTGAGCTCTTTTATGCAATTCTGCGTCCCCTCCCCAATAACCAGATCAGATTTTACTCAATCCTTCTGCATCTATGCCTGTACTGTTCAGCGTCCAGATGTTTACTGTGAAAACACTGCTAATCTGCATGCAACGATGCCTTCCCTCCCGTCATCCCTTCCTGTCGCGGCAGATGTGTTTTATGTTGGAATATCGGCTTTGCACTGACGCATTGTTCTTTCAGCAGCTTCGGTGCCTGTACGTGCTTGGAAACACTGTGTTTCTGCAGCAGAGCGTGGTTCTGTGGCAAATATGTCAAATGTCACTGCAGGGAATCGGCTCCGAAATCGGTTCACGCCTACGTGACGGAACTTTTAAAAACTGTGTCGCAAAGTGTCCAGGTGGAGCGAGCAGGAGGAGGTGGGGGTACGCCGTGCGTAATGGTCCGTCAGAGGAAAGCAGAGAGGGGAGCGGAGCAGAGGAGGTTGTTGCTTTGCTGCAGAGAAAAGAAATCTCCCCTCACAGTCTTCCACGGCTATCTCCGCAACTTGTCGCCCCTTTTTCCTCCACTGTGACGCGCGATAACCTTCCCCTGCGTGTGTATGTGCGTGTTTTCGCAGGGATTGCAGAAAACACATTCTCGGATTGTTTACCTGGAGTTTTTCTGTGCCCCGTGATTACTGCTTCTCCAGTGACAGGATGTAACCAGGTTGTACTCTTTGCTTCTTCGCTGTTGGTGGAAGAAAACGGGGGAAAAGGTAAAACATAGAACCCGCTAAAAGACAAACAAGAAAAATGCGTCGGAGAAATAAGCAGTGCGTATCCATAAATCCACGTATCCGCGTGATATTTACTTGATGAAGAATATCCGTCCATCCCGAGTCACCCCATAACTCCAAGAAGAAGGAAGGCAAGAAAGCCAGTCCGGCTTAAGATCCGCCGCCATGTCTAGCTGAGAGCTCTACTGCTCCGGGTTACTACACACAGAGGCTAGAGTGCGCGGCGCCGTGCCAAGCGCGCGAGGGATTCAGCGTGCGCGCGCTTACGGGAGATGGGATCGCGCCTAGAGGATAAAGACTCAAGCAATGTTTTCCTGGTAGACGGGAGGCGGTGGGGGTATTTCTTTGGTCGACGTCTTAATGTGTGTGTGACTAAATTGACCCCAAAGCAAGTTCCTGCACGCGCTGCCGGAGTTGCTTTACGGTTCAGCTGTGAGTTTATAAGCAGTCAACCAATCAATCAATAAATCTATAGTTGCCTTGCACCAAATAAATTCAAATGTGATTGACAAAGAAGAAGACCATAAGTAATAAAAAATGGAGACATACGGTTCCTGAAAAATGCTGAAATCAATTAAACAATTATGAGAAACAACATTTTGTAAGTGTGAGAAATGAATTGGATAGAAAACACTGAGTGGGGGGTATGTACAGCATACATAAGTGTGTGCATGTACATGTATATGCAAATGTCTTCTTTGGACATTCTTTGGCAGTGTGTATTTTTTACATGATGTATGCACAAAAAGCTTCCACACATATGTTCATTCCCACTTTATTCTTTTTTGCTCCCAATAGAAAGTGTTATTAAAGCTCCACTCCAGTGTATTTTGGCATTTTTTTCACTCACAAAATGTTGTTTAACAGATAACTTAATTTTGTTCTCAAAGTTGCTAAATTGGGGGTGGAACAGTGGTCCAGTGGATAGTCCCGGCCATTCTGTGTGGAGTTTGCATGTTCTCCCTGTGTCTGCATGGGTTCTCTCCCGGTGCTCCGGCTTCCTCCCACTGTCCAAAGACATGCGGCCTAGATTGATTGGTGAGCCTAAATTGTCCTTAGGTGTGAGTGTGAGTGTAACTGGTTGTTTATGTGTCACCCTGCGATGGATTGGCGACCTGTCCAGGGTGTACCTCGCCTTTCGCCCGATGTCAGCTGGGATTGGCTCCAGCCCCCTGCGAACCTGTACGCAGGATAAGCTGTTGACGATGGATGGATGGATGGAAATTGCTAAATTGCTAAAACAGGATAATGACATATGACTACAGTAGAATCTACAGGTCGTACGTCCTCCAAGCTTGAGTAGGTGCTCTCTTGTGTCTCTTTCAGTCTGAGTATCAAACTGATAAATGTTGCTGTGAGCCAGCTAGTCAACTTATTTTGTATTTTATGTAATGCCTAGGTATGTCTCTCTGTGAAGGTGTGTCTGTTTGTCAGTCATTTTGTCTTTCTAGTTAGTTAGCTAATTTAGGTTTAGTTAGCTAGCTTTACTTATAACATTAGTAACTGACGGTATTAATTTAGTTTGTTAGTTTCCTCCACTTTAGTTTAGTGTGCTATATATTACACAAAATCCAAGCTGTGGGCTGTTAATCAGTGTAATCAGTGGTTGGACTTCCTGGGCTGGAGGAAACGCACCGCATTTTCATCTGCAGCGCACATTTTCATCTGCAACGCACATTTTACTAAAGACTGCTTTACAGATACAGCTGCAGTTGAAATGGGATTTCAGAGAAGGCTGAAGTTGAGGGCCATGAGCTTTGATAAAATGGTGAATTGTGCACTGTGAAGTTTTTCAAATGATTTATTCACACTAACTAACGTTAGCTGACGACTGATTATTTGGAACTTTCATAAGTATGCTTGTCTTAGCCCACCACCTCAAACATTCAAAACAATTCACACTCCAGCCATGGGCCTTTCTGTGTGGAGTTTGCATGTTCTTCCTGTGTTCATGTGTGTTTCACTGTGTAATGTGATATTTATAAATGTGTACTGAATTTTATAGATGTGTAATTAGTTAGCAAAGGGAGCAAAGAGATCAAGTCCTTGGCCAAGCAAGAGGCCAAGCAGTGACAAGAGCAGCATCTTAGGTCATAGCTACTCTGATGGAGACAACTTATATACTGTATCAAAATTTTTACAAAAATGTTCAATGAATGAGCATCAGTGCCACAAGTGTGTAGCTTCTCTTATAACTCCTCTGCTTGTTTTTGTCAGCTGGCAGCTCATTAATATGGTGGTCCTGAGAGCTCAACGCACTGCAACTTATTCTGGGTGCACACCAAAAAATCTTTTACATCTTATAAGATTTCCAAAATGTGATAAACCACAAACATGAGGAGAAAAAATCCTAGATTTAACCGTTTTGCTCCTATAGTGTGTGGTGTGCCATGATGTGATAAAGACAGCACACCACACACAAACAGATTTTCAACCCAAGTCTAGACTGTGAACACAGGAAATCTCGCAAAATCTCGCGAGACTTCAGAATAAGCATGGCGGACCATATGCAGGAAGAAATTGCGATGTTTAACAAACATTCGTGCTGTTGCCACAAATCTACAAGCTGATCCTCCATCTCTGCTGTCCACATTAATTTCACCTTGTGCTGCACCATGACTGTGTTTCTTATGCTTCCGTCTTCAATCATCTCACTTTCTGATTATCAGTAAGAGCTTGAATGTAGAGGTGGCACCAAGACTGGAGCGACAACGATCAAGCCGGGGTTGAAATACTGGTGGAGATGAGGCTGATAGCTGGCAGGTGTGGCGGGCGGAGGTGGAGGTTGATGAGACACAGGTGTGGATTGTGAAACAAGGAGGAAAAAACAGGACACTCACCGTCAGCCAGACTGCCACCGCAACAGGGCCCCCCCTCAACTGACGCCTCCAGGCGGACCCCCTGGCTTGTCAGGGTGGGTCCGGTAGAAGTCTGTCAGGAGAGATTTGTCCAAGATTTGGCTGGTGGAGATCCAGGAACGTTCCTCTGGGCCGTAGCCGGCCCAGTCCACCAGGTACCGGTAACCCCAGCCTCTACATCGCACGTCAAGGATGCGTCGCACCGTGTAAGCTGGGTGCCGCCACTGGTACGGAGAGGGTGCTGGTGGAAACGGGCTTGATTCGGGAGACGTGGAAGACAGGGTGGACCTTTAGGTGAGGAGGGAGGGTCAGGCGCACAGCAGAGGGGTTGATGACGGCCTTGATGGGGTAAGGGCCGATGAACGGGGGGTAAGTTTCTTCGATGAGGTCTGTAGAGGAAGGTCCCTGGAGGAAAGACAAAGATGCTGCCCCGGCCGGTAGGCAGGCGCAGAGGTTCGGTGGTGGTCCGCCAACTGGTGGTTGCGGGCCACGGTGCGTTGCAGAGCGGCCCTGGCTTCCCTCCAGACTCAGCGGCAGCGTCGAAGGTGGGCCTGTACAGAAGGAACCACTACCTCCTCCTCTAGTGACGGGAACAAGGGGGGCTGATAACCCAGGGAACACATGAATGGGGACATACCAGTGGCAGTGCAGACTTGGGAATTGTGTGCATACTCAATCCAGGGGATGTGGGAGCTCCAGGAGGTGGGGCTACGGTACGCCACACACCTGAGTGTTGCCCCCAGGTCCTGGTTGACCCGCTCAGTCTGCCCGTTGGTCAGGGGGCGGTAGCCGGAGGAGAGGCTAGCAGTGGCTCCGAAGGCGCGGCAGAAGTCTTTCCAAACTTGAGAGGTGAATTGGGGACCGTGGTCGGAAACAATGTCCAGAGGAATGCCGTGCAGGTAGAAGACATGGTCAACGAGTAGGCGGGCTGTTTCTAGAGAGGTGGGAGTTTGGGTAAGGGGATGAAGTGGGCAGATTTGGAGAAGCGGTCGACAACCGTGAGGATGACAGTGTTCCCATTAGAATTGGGGAGACCGGTGACGAAGTCCAGGGCGATATGGGACCAGGGGCGACCGGGGACTGGGAGGGGGCGGAGCAGACCGGCGGATGGCTGGTGGGATGGTTTGGTGCGAGCGCACACCTCGCAGGCCGCTACAAAGGCCCGACAGTCCTTGTCCATGGAGGGCCACCAGAACTGCTGGCGGAGCAGGAAGAGGTTGCGGGCCATCCCAGGGTGGCAGTTGAACCTGGAGGCGTGCGCCCATTGGAGAACCCGGGAGCGGACACTCAAGGGGACATAGAGGCGGTTAGGGGGGCAGCAGACTCCACCTCCCAGACCACAGAAGCGACGAGACAGGTGCGAGGCAGGATGGTGTTGGGGGGTCCGAAGGGGTGTCTGGGGAGTGGAGACGGGAGAGAGCGTCTGGTTTGGTGTTATGGGACCCGGGTCGGTAGGAGAGGGTGTTAAACCTATTGAGTTCAGTCTCTTGGCAGTCTGGATGTAGGAGAGATTTTTGTGGTCGGTCAGTACCAGAAACGGGTGTTATGCTCCCAGTGCCAAGCCAGTGCCTCCATTCCTCCAGAGCCAGTGGAGTTTGGCGTCCTCCGGGGAGCACTGGGAGAGACAGACACCAATGCCCACGTCCGAGGCGTCCACCTCTACCATGAACTGAAGGGAGGGGTAAGGATTGGTGAGGACGGGGGCGGAGGTTAACAGGGTCTTGAGGCTGCAGCGGGTGAGGGGGGCGGCGACAGTAGAAGTTTGCGAAGCCGAGAAAGCGTTGTAACTGTTTTACAGATGTGGGGTTGGCCAATCAGCGACCGCCTGGATCTTTGACGGGTCGGCGCAGAGCCACCCCCCCTCGATTATGAAACCGGGGGACTGGACCGTGGGGCTGTGAAACTCACACTTCTCGGCTTTCACAAAGAGTCTGTTCTCCTGAGGCCGCTGCAGGACCAGACGGACATGCTCAATGTGTTGGGCAGGGTCGCGGGAGAAGATCAGGATGTCGTCGAGATACACAAAGACGAAGCGGTGGAGGAAATCTCGGAGGACGTCATTGATTTATGCTTGGAAGACTTAAGGGCATGACTAAGTACTCATAGTGACTAAGGGGGGTGTTGAAAGCGGTTTTCCATTTGTCCCCCTCCCGGACCCACACCAGATGGTGGGGAAAAATGGTGTACCGGGAGAGGGACTCGAAGGCTGAATCCATGAGTGGGAGGGGGTATCTATTTTTTATGGTGATGGCGTTGAGCCCCCCGTAATCGATGCAAGGGCGAAGGGTCTTGGTGATGCCGGCAGCCAGTGAGTCTTTGATCTCTCCCCGGACGTGAAAGGTTGTAGAGGGAACTGGAAGGGAGGGGCGCGTCCGGGAGAAGGTCTATGGAGCACTCGTAGGGGTGGTGGGGGGGTAGAGACAGGGCTTGGTCTTTGCTAAAAACTAGAGTGAGGTCGTGGTAGACGGTAGGGACGCTATGGCCGCTAGGCCCCAGCCTGCTCCCCGGCCTGTTCCCCGGCCTGCTAGCGCCACTAGCCTCCAGCCTGCCTCTCCCGATCCATCGCCTGCTAGTGCCCCTAGCTCCCAGCCAGTCCCTCCTTATCCGTTGGTGGTCCGGCCGACTCCTGCCCCTCGAGCCCTGGT